TCTCTCTCTCTCTCTCTCTCTCTCTCTCTCTCTCTCTCTCTCTCTCTCTCTCTCTCTCTCTCTCTCTCTCTCTCTCTCTTTCTCTCTTGTTCAGGACTTGCGATAATCAAATAACTCGGAAGAGATCGTGCGACTCGTTAGACTTTTCCTCTTTCTTCTTTTCTTTTTTCTTCCGTCTCCTTCTCCCTCTCTCCTTATTTTTTTCTTTCTCATAAAAGTTCTATTCCAATTTGCGTTGCAATCTCTTTCTCGCTTTTCCTAACTTTTTACACCTCACATATATCAGTAGTACGTTAGTTGCTCGCAATTAAAACCGCGTTTTAGCTCTGTAAGATATAAAACCTTACTAAACCTTACTAAACCGAGTTATTTTATTTCATCGAGCGTTGAGTAGCAGCAAAGGGTAACATGAACGTAAACTTTAGAAGATGTTAAATTATTATGGGATGTCGATCAAAGCACTTCCCGTGATTAAATATTTCAGTTTACTGAAATATTTGTCAACTGTAGACTTGCTGCGGACGCGTGCGCGTCAGTCGTACTTTTAGACGTCATCGTGTTAATAATTTCTTCATAACGTTATTATGAACGACTTTCTTGCTCTTCTTCTCCTTCCCTCTCTCCTCTCTCCTGTCTCTTTCTCTTTCTCTTTCTCATGTAGTCTGTAAAACGGACACATCATAATATCAGGCTGCGCAGTGCATAAGCAGAAACTTGATATCGTTGTTGCGACGCGGCGATTACGAAATATTAGAAATTGTAAATACGATAACAGACACGACACAATCCGACACATTTCTATAATTGTCATGTAAAACAAACTGCTATCTATCGGTTAGTTTCCCCGAGTCAAATTATTTTTTTGAAAACTAAATAACGCGTCGCGATAACGCGTCGAAAACGCATTTGTGCGAGAATCTACGATTTTACAAATGCAAAATGCATTAAAGTCCATCGAAGAAATTATGCAACGACAATCATATTAGACAAAGCGCGTTTCGTTTGACGTAACATTCTCCGACATAAAGTCTGGTCTCTAACGCGTACGGTATTAAAGAGGAAACTCGTAATCATGTAAATTATGCGATAAAAACGAGGCGTGAAAACAACACAGAAAAAACAGATGAAGCAAAAGAGAAAGAGAGAAAAAGAGAGAAAAAAGGCAAAGTTCTAGCAACGAGCTTAGGTGCAATCGTAAAGAAGAATTATAGCCAGCAAAAAAGAATGTTTCCCGCCGGTGCTTAGCTACATGATAACGATAAATGTCGGGTTAATATAAAATAACGCTATTTAGCGGGATACCGTCGGTGTGCTTCCCACAGCTGACTTGAAAACTAACGTGGCTGATGAGCATATAATTGAGAAATATATCACAGCAATTCTTGCTGTACGAGAAAACAGCGCGCGACCGCGTAATACTCGTAACTTTATCGCCGAAGCAAGCAAGTGACAGTTCGCAATCGGCAAGTAGCTCATGTCATGAAAGATGCATAGATGTCTTCCCCCGCGACACTTCGCCGCGAAATATTTTCCGACGTGTATATCATATACATAATACATAAGACACGCACGCGTGCTATCCCTTATTATTTCCGTAATGGATTCTATCCGGTATTTGTTCCGCGATCGAAAGAAAATTTAACGCAAAGACGAAAGACTGTCTCGTGAGAGACATCAAAAGTCAGTCTACAAGTGAGTACTCTTGATAAACGTTCATACAGAAGGGAAAAAGAGTGTCATTGCTTTGTTATCTGTTAGGAGAAAAATGTAAAGATAAAACTATAAATATATCAGAATTGTGTATGTATATACAGGATGTCTGACACGTTTACTCGTATGCAAGTAAAACTGTGTCAAACTAAACGAGAAAGTCCTATACCGTTTTATAAATGCAAATATTTTATCATGCAAATTTTGAGATATTAATTATCAAAAATTCGCAAATATATACATGAACGAGCTCTTTAAGCTCGGCTGAAATGGAGTCTCATCTATGATGTCTGAATCGATCGACAATATCTTGTCAATGACGGATGGTGCGTAATGCTCTGGACAGTATTATAATACATCTACCACCATCATTCGGCTGGTTCAATTGAACGACAGTTATGCAAATGGTATACAAAAACAAATTTCCAGTTCGTGTAACTGAATGGGAACCAGACGAAAAACTTGCTGATATCTGATAAATAATATTACTGTTACTATGATTGAAAATATTCATCTGAACATTCAGCTTCATTAAAACTCCATTAAGATAATTGAAAGCAATTGACTGAATAGAAACCTCCTACAGGAATCTTTCTCTTCCCACAACTGAATTTTTTATTTGGTTCGCAGATAATAGAAAATTCAGTTTCGCTAACGAAGTAATTTTTTTGTGTACAGAACTTTTTCAATTAATTTAATGAGTTTTGTCCGTACACGAGTGGAGATGTGCGAGTCACATCAGATATCCCGTATATACTATACATAATGTTATGATTAAATAATTTTATAATTCGCTAGTTTTAAATACATTTAGATAAAATATAGAATTATATGTGGATATAATAATAAAACAGCCGATAAAGTTACTATAAATTTAATATTAGAATATATAACCTATAACAGAATATAAATAAAATGAAAAAAAAAGGAAAAAATTAGTTAAACGGTAAAGGTTCGATAATGCTTCTTAAACGTCTAGAAACAATGCTCGTGAACGAACGTTTGAAAGCAAAACAGACTGCTGCTCGTTTCACGCTTGTCAAGCTTAATATGACGAATCCTTATATTGGCTGAATTCTTACACTATTGAAAAAACATTGAACGTTTCAATATCGCTTATTTACATCGCTCGATTAGAAGAATGCTCGCTCGTTCGCTCGCGTCTGTAAAGATGACACATTTTAAAAAAATTGATGACAAATTTAAAAAAACAATGACAATTCTATTAGCATTTTTCATAGTTCTAGATAGAAAACAAAGAGTTCCGGATTTTTAATACTGAAAAACAGCAAATGAAAAATTGTCGTGATAACTTCGGTGATTAAAAAATTATTTAAAAATAGGTATTCGCGCCGGCGCGCGGAACTTTTTTTAAATTTGATTGTAGGGATTAGAACTTTGCTATAACTAACGAGAACTGTCAATAGAACGGCCAGATATGGCCTGCATGATATTTTCTCTCGGAAGTGTTGTGCTGCGTTGTATTATTCGAAGTTTATGAAAAAGGCCTAATTGTTTAAATTTTTTTTCTTAATTGAACATTTTGATAGAATTTGATCAGAACTGACGGGGACTCTTACTAAAAGTAGTGGTATTTATTTAATTATTGTATTTTAGAGTGAAAATGTCGTACTAGATTCGCGAAGTTAGCACGACAAGTTTTCATTTACTGTTTTTCGGTATTAAAAGTACGGTACTCTTTTTGTTTTCTATCTAGAATTCTAAAACTATGAAAAGTGTTAATAAAACTGTCATTGTTTTTTTTTTAATTTGTAAAACGTCGTACCAGCTTCAAAAACGCCGCTCTCGCTTGTTTCTCAGAACTAATCGCTTTTCCGAATTCCAACGGCTCTTGTATTCGTGTCCTCACATATATGTATAGCGATTCATCTTCTCTGGATAACTTCTAAATAATAATTGTTTTTAAAGCTATTAAAACAGTTATAAAAAAGATTGCATATCATAAAAGGAATA